TTCAACGGTAGGGGAAGTACAGAGTAGTTATCTTGTTAGTTTTATACACTGCTTCGCTGCGGGCATCCATTTAAATAGAAACTAGTATTCCCACAATTTGATTTTATCTCCATCCTAAGTTTCCTTCCACGCTTTAAGCATTTACATACATTCGAGCATTACATATTATATGAAAATTTTATTTGTTATATTATAAAACAAACAAAAAGATAAAAAAATATAAAAATGTTTATTTTAAATTATTGAAAACCATGTATTTTGATACCAAATCACACACTTGTCAAGTGTAGCCTGTATCTATTGGTTACTATGACGTTAGATGACAGCTGGCTATTAAAAGGTTAGGTTACAGCTGGTTACTATAACATTAGTTGACAGCTGTCATTGCATAATATTTATAGCTGTCACTTAACGTTATAGTAACCCATAGATACAGACTACACCTGACATATATTTAACTCAGAAAACACATATTCATGGAAGTAGTTTTAAATCATGAATAACTTTAACACAAATTAAATAAAGTAAAATTCAATAATAATATCACATATATTAGATAAGTGTATTGTAGTAAAAAAATATTTTTTTAGTAAAATTGAAAATTTATTAAAATATTCATGATGTTGGCTTCTCTGTAAAAATTTAAACTAAACAATATATTAAAATATTTATATTTTTTTTTGGAACCTATATAAAGTCTACTTTATATTTATATTAAACAGAATATTCTAACAAATAAAATAAGTATACTAAAGAAATTATGACTTACTGTTTTCATTAGATATTATAAGCTATAATTATTGATTTATAATGGTTTTACATATATAAAAGATATGAAGCTACAATTATTAATTATTCGAGTTTTTTTGACATCATTTTTGCATGTGTGAATGCATTTGTATCTGTTTCGGATTGGATTGGTGAAAACATATAATCCCTTTGTACGTCGCGAATGATAAATAATTTCGTGGTAATTCGGCCGGACCTGGGATGGAAATAAAAATGGAAGAGAGGAGAATTTTCGGATGGGAGCGTGTGTTTGTCAGTAATAAATCACGTTCGACGGAAGATGGATTAGTTTTTAATAAAAATTGTTTCGCTCTATGAGAGAGGAAGAGAGAGAATAGATGAAAACTGATGAAAACAAAAGCTCTGTAGTCGTAGGGGTTCAGTAGAGAGAGAAAATCAGCTACTGATGTTGAAAAGCAGCAACCACAACAAAACAAAAATGTTATATAATGGATTTTGTGTATTTCACGAGGGGTTTGAGATCAGAGAAGTTTACCGCAAATGCCGAAAGCAGAAATAATAGAAAATATAATAATATAGGTAAAATTTGTCCACAATATCAAATGTCAAGATTCCATGTCGTCGGAAAACTGTATCGTGATGTATGTGGAATGTTGCGGTCTGATGCATTGAGCATACGTGGAATTCCTCATTGTATAAAGTCTGTACGAACGTTGATATAATTGGTGCATTCTGAACTCGGAAAACTATAGGGTTTTCAAGAATATTATGCAACGATTCCGTATTATTTTACTTTACTAATTTGATTACCTTACAAGTTCTAAAATCTAATCCGCTCCAAAAACAACTTTTTCGATCAGGTTGAAACTGCACCAAATATATCATAACAATTTTAAATTTTCATACATATTGAATAAGAATTTTTTACAACATCACTTTCAAATTTTATTTTTTATTATAATGACATATTATAGAAAATTTAAATTTTGCTTAATACTATTAGAAGGTCTATAATATATAAATTTCAATTGATTTCTGCTATAAACTGAAATTTGAATTAAAGTATTAAAGTTTATGACAGTCTATATTTTATTTTTTACTTCTGCACCAAATAGGAAAATGTTATATATTTTGAAATAGCAACACTTCTTGCATGACTATCAGTATTTTATAATAAAATTTGTTCATTTTTTTTACAACAAATAAGAAATTTATACATATTTCAAAAATTAAGATTCAAATATTTTTTGTTTATTTTCACTGCTTAACTTTAATTTTTTATTTTCTTTTTATAATGAGAAATTATGTAAGCTTCAAATCTCGCTTAATATAATTAGAATATCTATAATATATAATTTTAATTGATTGATTCATTAAACTCAAAATTGAATAAGTGATGATGAATTCAAATAGTAACATTTCTTTAATGACAACCATTATTTTTAATATGAAATTTTGCTAGTTGTATTTTTTTTTTAATCTAAATAATCTTTTCGTAATAACAAAACACAGAAAAATACGATTCCGAAATGAAAGATAATCTGAGATCTTATAACATCTCCTTCCTGTTTTTCTTCGCTTTTCTTCTATAGAAAATTGTCTTTCCTGTCCATCCTCTGCAGATGTAAGTTATTATTCCCGATTTCATTGTTCGATATCGCCATCACGATGGAGCGTAGATCCAAAGCAACATATCTTCAGTTTATTTGTTTATTTTTTTTTGAATTGCGAACATTTTTAAAAAGAACTTCATCCTGCCGAGCAAAGCTCCTCCGCGTATCCATCTCGAAATAATCCGTGGCAATTTCCGGTCCCTTGGAAACTGCAAGAATGTTCCGCTCGCTGCTCCGACCCATCTGGAATATGGAGTTTACTTTAGTCGAGTATCCCGCATTTGTCATATAGTAAATACTTTTTTATTTTATACACACATTGCAGCAGACACACACACACAGATATAAAAAATAGAACCATTACCAGAGGACGTGTTTTGAATATTGTTTGTACTTTTTGTATACTTCTCTTTACGCAAAAATCGCTTCTATTTACGACTCTATACTACACCTATGAACTTGATTATAAATAGAGGTAACGCCCGACTTACGAACAAGTTCCGTTCTAAAGGGTTTCTCGTAAGTCGGGGGGAATTTTAAATATTTCAAAATATACTTATCTTACCACACTTTATCATAGTTTTTACTTTCATATATGTTAAATTCCGTATTACTAACTGCATAAATTTGATTAAAATAAATAAAATACTTACTTACAAATACTTTTCAATGTAGACATCACAATTATTTAATAAAAAAGGACAAAAGCAACAAAACAGATAGTACATCTTCCACAAATATTATATTTTATTTAAGAAATTATCAATTTTTGTTCGTAAGTCCGGGAATTCGTAAGGATTATTTTCCGGGATTTTTATTAGAAATTATGTTTTTTTTTTTCATTTTTATTGTTTCATCCATTAGTATTTTTGTTTGTAATTTTGAAACTGTTTACATGTTTGTTAAATAATAAATTTTAAATAATAATAGTAATATTTTCATGAGTAAAAACTATATATAAATTGTCACAAAAAAATAAAATAAGAATACAAAAACAATTGCTATAAAACTGATTAAAATTGTGTTATCACTTTGATAAGTTAATAATTAATTTATTATTTCTATTTATATACATATTTTGACATATTCATTTCATTTTATACTAAAAATCTTTAAAAGCAAATATTTTTCTTATAAATTATCGTTGTATTTGATTATTATATTATAACTGTGAATAAATATACACTCAATAGGTAAACACAATTATGACAGGTGTACTTAACTATCATGATGATCGTTGACAGTGAAACCCAACTGACAGCTGCAATCGCACTCTGTGTAAATATAATAGTTGAAATATGTTACATCTTTGTATTATGGCACGTACAGCATAGATGCAGCTGTTTATTGCATACAAAAGTTCCTGACTTTAATGTGGTATAATTTGGTTTTATGTACAGTAGCATTATAGAACTCATTTTAGAAATGTGACAATTCGTAATAATAATAATATTTATTGCATCACCAAAATATAAACTCAATGAAATAACAAAAATTAAATTCAATTAAACTACTACAAAAGTCCAATATTTTTATTAAAACAAATTATTTTGTTAAATTTCTAATTAAAGATTTATTAGACTTTTATACATGTAAATACATGTAAGATATAAATAATTTCAAATTTATTGTATGAACTATATTATATTTGCTTACACAATACGTGTAAATTAATTCGTAAATAGTTTGAGAAATTCTGAAAAATTAATTTCTTCTATTAATTTCTTAAATATAAGAATTATTACTATAACAATTCTTTGAAAATGGTATAGCAGTTGTTGATATAACAAAATTTCGAACAAGTCCTAGAGATTTGAGTACTACGTGTGCATTTTAGTTCTCAATAATAACACGATCTGAATATTTAAAAAAAAATATTTTAACGAGTCTTGTAATGTTATTATTAATTATTTCTTTCCATTAATTTTGTTTTTTTCTTAAGTAAAAGTGTATATATTTATTTTTTAATGTTTAGCACAGAATTTTCAATTAATAGAAATACCGCAAACTTACCAGTAAACTAAAAATATTGACTGGTAAACAAAAATCTTGGATATCCTAGATGTACGTTAGGTTTGCTTTGATGGTAGAAATTTGATGTGTGTTCAATGTATATTTATTGTATGAACTATATTATATTTACTTACAAAATACGTGTAAAATTATTCGTAAATAGTTTGAGAAATACTTATAAATTAATTTCTTCTATTAATTTATTAAATATAAGGATTATTACTAAAACAATACTTTGAAGATTGTATAGCTGTCGTTGATATAACAAAATTTCTAACAAGTCTTAGAGATTTGAGTACTACGTATGCATTTTAGATCTCAATAAGAACAGGATCTGAATATTTAAAAAGAAAAGTGTTTTGACGAGTCTTGTAATGTTATTATTAATTATTTCTTTCCATTAATTTTGTTTTTTTCTTAAGTAAAAGTGTATATATTTATTGTTTTATGTTTATCACAGAATTTTCAATTAATAGAAATACCGCAAACTTACCAGTAAACTAAAGATATTGACTGGTAAACAAAAATCTTGGATATCCTAGATGTACGTTAGGTTTGCTTTGATGGTAGAAATTTGATGTGTGTTCAACGTAAACTAATTTGTGTGGTTGACAAATGTTTCAGGTATCGAGCAACGCCGGAATGATTTCGCACTTCGTGAACCTGCAGATCGTTGTGCCGGAGGCGAGTATACAAGGAACCGGAAGCGGCGAGCATCACGTGGACGTGGGCAGCGTAATCGATTTGGTCTGCATTATAGAGAAGGTAAAACTAATTGGAATTGTTGTATATGCAACCATGGGAATTGTAGCGTTTTAAACCACTCTCAAAGACCCGAAATACATATGAACACAGAGACAGTGTGTGTGTGTATGTGTGTGTATTAAAACTCCGAGCTATTATTAATCCCTAAAGTTATATTGCGTTCGGGGACGTCGGCCAAAAGTTTACTACTTGCGGCCGAATTAAGCCCCAGATAAATCACTTTGTTCTCCTTCTCCACGAGGACGTGGAAGAGGAGTTGGAGGTGGAAGAGGCAACTATGTTGTACCATACATAAATATTTTGCAAACGAGCCCATAAATACAATTCCTGGACTCTTCTCTTCTGAACGTTACCTCTTTTTTGTTTCGTCCTTTTCACCATATGCTCTTCCACCGGTATGAATTTTACATGAGTGAACGACCATTAACATATGTGTGTGTGTGTGTGTGTGCAGTTTTAATCCGGATTGGGACCTTTCATTTGCCATTCATTTTCTTGTTGACAATTTGCTGAATTGAAAGCGGTTTTCCTTCCATTTTCCTCTAATAAATTAGTTCGTAGTCTCTTCTCATTTTTTTTTCTCTCTCTTCTTTCCATACTTGGTGGAACGGTCGCATCTATATAAATGCGTGTATATATATCACCTCGATGGAATATTACAGTTTTCCAACGGCTGAATAAAACATTTTTATCGTCCAATAAGAGAAGGGAATCCGAAAGAAATATGTCCTCGGCTGTATCTACATTTTTAAATAAATTACGGCCACATTTTTGAATAGGCAAATAGGCACGTATAAAGTGCGCACTGGATACATTACATCACTACTATTCATTCACATAAGAGAGAAAGAGATGCATGCAGCTGCATTTCAGCTCCATTTCCGTTTCCGACAATATTTCTGATGAAAAATAAATAAAAGCCGGTTGCAAAAACTAAAATGAAAAACGAAAATATTACGTACAAATACATTTATACGTGCAATATATTTTCGTATAGACGTAAACAACGAATGGGTAAAAACGTGTTTATTTATTTATTTATTACCAAATATAAAACAATCCGGAAAACATTGCGCGCCGCGTTGCATATTCTGTTTACGGATTCAACGTAATGTAAATATGACGGAATACAATAATATGGATTTTATTATCATTATTATTATAACTATTATCATGCCATGTTTTTCATCCAACATATTCCACCAGTTTATAATATGTAAATACATGGAATATTTCAATTGTTCACATTCCAATAAAAACATTCGCATAAAATAATATTTATTACACAAAACTAATTTTACCTTTATTTCATTATTCAGAAAATTCAATTTTCTATTTTATTTTCCAAAAATTATACTCCCTTTGTCCGAAAATATGGTATACATTTGAATGAAAATTTTATTTTATCTAGAGTTTCGAAAGCAACTGTTAATAATCATTATATTGGTATTGTTTACATTGATAACTAAATAACATAACATATTTGACAGTCGTTGCTTTTGAGTTAAGTCGCAATTTAAAGACCAAAAATTAGTTTTTTTTTTAGGAAAAATATAATAGTCACCGCTGTAATTTCAAAATGGAAAATTTTAACCCAAATAACGTGAATTTATAAAGAATAAATGCCAAATCTGCTGATGCATGCTGAAAGAGCTTAGGCTTAAGCAGTATGATTACTTATGTAAAACCCAAATATGTAACCCATTTCACATATAAATAAAAACGTTTGAAACTATTACAGTGTATGAAAAACAAAGAAAAATTAGAACAAGGTTCTACTGATGGTTGGATTATACAATTTAAGTCACAACAACTACCGATTTAAACGTTCTGGATTTGGGTTTTTTACTCTTTAATCACTACAACAGGAAGCTTTGCCAACAATTGATAAATTGATTGAATGTATTCAAGATGCATTTAATAAATTAGAGAAAAATACAATTGATAACGTTTTTATAACATTACAAACGTATATGCAATCAATTATGTTAATAGGAGGAGGAAATTCCAATAAATTTCCTCATATTAATAAGGTAAAACTTCGTCGTGAGGGTCGATTTACTAAAATGTATACAAAATGTATTTGTTGAAAAGGAGCTTTCAACAAGACTAAATCTCATATTTCATCGTTTGTTTAATACCTCGAGTAAATTTCAGACTTCACTTAAATGTATAAATACTTTAGTTAAAGCGAAATGTATATACTTTATGTAATAAGTTGTCAAATTTGAAAAAATACATTTTGGTCCATCATTTGATAATATGTAACGTTCTCACATATTATCGTATTACTCGATAACGAAGAATACCAGCTATAAGTATGAATAGGCTAATTAAATATAAATATAGAGACTTTAATTTTAATAATACTTCCGTAATTCGAGCACTTATAGATTTTATATAATAAGCTCAAATTTGAAAAACATATTTTTATGCAAAATATGCTCTGTATGCACGTTTTGTCATATTACTTATCGACTGCGGATGTTAGTTAGATGGAGAAAAAATCAAATTAAAGAGAAATGTACAGGCTTTAATTTGGATATGCTGCCAGATGTATAGGTTTTACAATTTTAATATAATAATCTACCAAATTTGAAAAA